TGGATTAGAAATCATGAGCCCTGTGTTCTAACCCTGTCACTTCCACTTACTAGTTGTTCAACCAGGAGCAAGTCATTTATCCCCCTGAGTTTCAGTTTCCTTATCTGTAAAACGAGGATAATAATGCCTGTAATACTTAGCTTACTGGCTGGTTTTAACAAATAAATCAGAGAGTAGACCCTAAAGCATTCCATAAATGCCAGTTAGTATATTCAACCCCAGAGGGCCAAAGAGAACTACAGGCACACTCCCCAGCCCATTCCCATGACTCTTTCCTTTCTGACTCCTGTGTTCTATGGTTTGGGCAAGTCAAGGAGAATTCAGGGGCTGGCTTCAGGTTGGAGGTGAAGGAAAAAGGTTATCAGTTAGTCAGAGAAAAGGAAAGCCTTTGAATCCTGGAAAGGAGAGAGACTGACACCTGCTCATCGTGAGGGACTAGTTAGAAGATGAAAAGATCAGTGGAACAACAACTGAAGAGCAGCTGCAGAAATTCTCTAATTTAGATACCTGAGAAACAAGATAAAAGACTAAAACAGGGATGAGGTCATGGGAACCAGAGCTGGGAGGAGCCCTATGGATCCCTTAGTGCAATGGCTTTGTTTTGCAGATGAAGAAACAGAGACCTAGATTGGTTAACCTCCTCAAGGAGCCACAGAAGAAGAATGATGAAGATGATGATAGCTAACATTTATAAAGCACTTACTACGTGCCAGGCTCTGTGCTAAGCACTTTATAATTATCACCTCATTTGATCCTCAAGACAATCCTGGGAGGTAGGTGCTATTGTTACCTCCATTTTACAGATGGGGAAACTGAGGCAAACAGGAATTAATTGACTTGCCCAGGGTCATATAACTATTAACAGATCTGAACTCAAATCTTCCTGACTCTAAGCCCAGCACATGACCCAGAAGCAGCTGAACACAAGGGCTTCTGACTGCAAATTCAGTGCCACTGCCACTTAAGACTACATTAGAAGAGGGAAAAGAACTGTAGCCTCCTCTATGCCTAACCCCAACCCCTTCAGCCAAATTCCTCGAGGGAGCCTTCCTCCAGGCTAGTAACCTTATTTATGTAAAGGAGATAATCAGAGGAGCCACCAAGAACTGCTAGATGCTAGAGCGTGGTCTCCGGGGACTATCTCTTGAAGCATGTGTGGGAAAGGGCTCTTTGCTGAGTCCCCTGCTGGTAGGCACTTCGCTAAAATATATATATATATATATATATATATATATATATATATATGTATGTATGTATGTATGTTGGGGGCAGGGGATGTAGGGAGAAAAAAATAAATGCTTATTAATTGAAACTTTTTTCTATTTTTTTAATTTAATTTTTTGTTATATTTTAAGTTCCCAACTGTCTCCTTCCCTCCCCACCCCAAACTAGGGAAGCCACCATTTGAGATAGATAGATATGTAAAACCATACTATGCATACTTCTTTTTACCAGTTCTTTCTCTGGAGGTGGATAGCATCTTCCTTCATAGGTCCTTCCTAGTTGATTTGAGTATTTATAATACTTAGAATAACTCAGTTGTTCACAGTTATCCTTTAAATAATATTGCTGTTACTGTATACAATGTTTTCTTGGTTCTGCTCATTTCATTCTTGATTATTTCATGCAAGTCTTCCCATGTTTTTCTAAAATCAACCTGCTCATAATTTCTTACAGCACAGTAGCAATCTATCACAATCATACACCGCTATTTGTTTAGCCATTCCTCAATTGATGGGCATCCCCTCAATTTCTAGTTCTTTGCCACCACAAAGAGAGCTGCTATAAATATTTTAGAACATATATGTTCTTTTCCTTTTTCTCTGATCACCTGGGAATACCTAATAGTATTGCTAGGTCAAAGGGTATACACAGTTTTAAAACTCTTTGGCCACAATTCCAGATTGCTCTCCAAAATGGTTGGATCAGTTCAGTTCCACCAACAGCGTGTCCCAATTTTTCTACATCCCTTTCAACAATTGTCTTTTTTCCCTTTTATCATTTTAGCCAATCTGATAAGTGTGAGATGATATCTCAAAACTGTTTTCATTTGCATTTCTCTCGTCAATGGTGCTTTAGAGTATTTTTTCATATGACTATTGATAGCTTTGATTTCTTCATCCAAAAACTGCCTGTTCATATCCTTTGACTATTTATCAACTGGGAAATGATATACATTCTTACAAATCTGATAAAATTTTCAATATATTTGAGATGAGACCTTTATCTGAGAAATTGTCTATAAACTTTCCCCCAAAATTTTCTGCTTTCCTTCTGATCTTGGATACATTTATTTGTACAAAACCTTTTTAATTTAATGTAATTGAAGTTATCCATTTTACACCTCACACTGCTCTCTATCTCTTGTTTATTTGTAAATTTTTTGCCTATCCTTAAGTCTGTTAGGTAATATGTCCCATGTTCTTCTAATTTACTTATGATATCTCACTTTATATCTAGGACACATATCCATTTTGACCTTATCTTGGCAAATCCTGTAAGATATTGGTCTATACCCAATTTCTGCCAGACCACTTTCCAGTTTTCCCAACAATTTTTACCAAATAGCAAATTCTTATCCCACAAGCTTAAATCTTTATATTTGTCAAACACAAGGTTATTCTAATCATGTTCTCCTGTGCATTGTATTGTCTACTCTGTTCCATTGATCCACCTTTCTATTTCTTAGCCAATACTGGATAGTTTTTGATAATTACTGCCTTATAATACAGTTTAAGATCTGGTACTGATAAACCTCTTTCCTTTACAATTTAAATAAATTAATTAATTAAATAAGCAGAGACTGATCCTCATGGTCCCCATAACTAGAAACTCCATTAAAGATGACTAATGACTGAGCAGGAAGAACCATCCACTCAGTAGGCTCAAAAGGAGAAACAACTTCTGTTCTCACTCTCTTCCATTCTTTTGAGTTCACTGGGGCTTTGCCACCTCCCGCTTATATTTCAGTTGAATGGACAAAGGGGACCTCACTCCCTCTGCCCTCCCTAGCAGCAGCCACAGTGGCTACATCATAGCAAGTGCAGATGTTTACCTGGGTAAGCTCGAGACTGGATCTCGGGTACATAATTTTCTTTTTTTTCTTTTTTCTTTTTTTCTTTTATTAATTTATTTTGATTTATCAACAATCACTTCCATATGCTTTTGAATTTAAAATTTTTCTCCCCCTTCCTCCCTACCGCCCTCCCCAAGATGGTGCACAATCTGATATAGGCTATACATTTACATTCCTATTAAACATATTTTCACATTAGTGATGTTGTAAGCAAAAATTAAAACCAATAGGAGGAACCATCAGAAAGAGGAAACAAAACTCAACATAAGAGAAAAAAAAAGATAGCAATTCAACTTCCATAGTTCTTTCTTTGGATGTGGATAGCATTTTCCATCACGAGGCTTCTGGAGGTGTCTTAGATCCTTGCATTGCTGAGAAGGGTTAAGTTTATCAATATCAGTCATCGAACAACATGGCTGTTATTGTGTACAACGTTCTCTTGGTTCTGCTCACTTCACTCAGCATCAGTTCATAGAAGTCTTTCCAGGTTTTTCTGAAGTCAACCTGTTCATCATTTCTTATACCACAATAGTACTCTGTTACATTCATATGCTACAACTTGCTCAGCCATTCCCCAATTGATGGGCATCCTCTCAATTTCCAATTCTTTGCAGCTAAGTGGCGCAGTGGAGAGAGCACCGGCCCTGAAGCCGGGCATAATTTTCTATAAGGCGGTTTCAACCCCAGGAATACCGCGCCTTCCCCGGGATAAGCGCATGACCGCACAGGGGTTGATCCCGGTTTGATGTTTAACACCTTCTCAACTCCCTAAATTACCTCTCCGCTCTGATTGGTCAACTGGAGGGCAGGGCAATTAACGTCTTCCCAAAGCCACAGAACTTTCCACTTGACTTCGTTTTCTGTGGGGAGCTCTGCTTGCTATCGACTCCTGGAATATTATGCTTGACTATTTGTCAGTGCAAGCTTATGTGTCTTCGGTGTTTCAAGCATTTGTTTATGGTAGAGAAAGTAAATAGCTGTTCTGTGTTGTTCAATTGGGTTCAACTCTTCATGACCGCATTTGGGGTTTTCTTGGCAAAGATACTGGAGTGGTTTGCCATTTCCTTCTCCAGCTTATTTTATAGGTAAGGAAACTGAGGAAAATAAGGTGAAGAGACTTGTGAGGCCAGATCTGAATTCAGAAAGATGAGTCTTCCCAACTGCAGACCGGGCAGTCTATCCACTGTGCCACCTAGCTACCCCACCAAATAAAGACAAGGTAATTTGGAGGAGGGGCTAAGGCATCAGGAAATGCTTTGTGGGCTGAATCTCAGAAGAAATTAGAGATTTTAAGGGAGAATTGAGGGGGAGACAGCATTCTGGGAATGAGATGGGAGCTAATGCAATCTTGCCTGAGTCTGGGTGACCCCCGGCAAGTCATTCACCTCCCCGGGACAGAATGAGGGAGACAAAAGAGATAGAGACAAGGAGAGATGAAGACAGAGTGACAGGAGGGCCAGGTTGCCGCCTTCTTCACACTTTCGCTCAGGACTAGCCAGTCCCTGTGTACTTGTGCATATATATGTGTTATGTTTGTATGTCTGTGTGTGCGCATGTGCGCACGCCTGACCGCAAGCACAGCCCCAGCCCCCCCTCCGCGGGTCACGCCGAGGCGCGCATGCGCCCTCGGCACGCGCCCTCACCGCCCGGGGCTCTGCCCGCAGCCCGGGGAGCAGCGGAGACACAAACACTCGCACGTGCGCCCCCGCCCCTCCCCGCGCACGCGCCCCGGGCCTCGGCGGCGCCCTCCCACCCTCCCGGCTTGCTCGGATCCAGTGCCTCCTGCGGCTCCAGCCGGGCCCCGAGACAGACCCGGCCAGAAGAGAAGGCGGCGGCGGCGGCGGCGGCGGCGGCAGCGGCAGCGGCGTCTGCGGGCTCCTGGCGAGCGGCAGCTGTGACAGACAGTGACAGAAGCGGCGGCGGCGGCGGCGGCGGCGGCGGCGCGGGTGAGGAGGCGGCTGCAGAGAGCGGGCGGGGGGTGGGGGGGGGCGATGCCGCCGGCCCGGGCCCCTGTCCCCGGCCCCGGAGGACCACGGGCTCCGGCACAGGCCGGCCTCTGAGGCGCGCGCAGAGCCGGCGGGAGCCGAGCCCTCCGGGCTGTCCCCGGCCCAGCGCTCCTCCATCCCGCCCAGCAGGTGCGGCGGCGCGGCTGACCCGGCAGAGGAGATGGTGACCGCTCCGGAGGGCGGGCCCGGGCAGCCAATGTGACCCCGCCCGGCCCTGGGACCCCCGCCCCCTGCCTCTCCGAGCAGATAGCCCTGGGACCACTACCACCCCGGCTCCAAGGAGACCACCCTGGGACCCCGCCCTCCTCTCCTCCTCCCCCCCCCCCCCGGCTCTGAGCAAACAGCCCTGGGACCACCGCCGCCCCCCAGCAGACACACCTGGGACCCTGCCTCCCGCCTCTGAGCAAACAGCCCTGGTATGCCCCCACCTTTGCAGACAGCGCTGAGACCACCCCCACCCTGAGCCAACAGCCCTGGGATCACGGCCCCTCCCCGAAGGCCCGGGGACATTTACCCCCAGTCACTGGTCAAACAGATCCTCCCAATTCTGCACACAGCCCCTGTAACCTTTGTCCCCCAAACCCTGAACAGACAGACCTGGGATTCCTCTCCGTGGACAACCCCCCAGGACCTTGAACAAATAACCCTGTGACAATCCTCTCCCCCAGACCCTGGCCATTCAGCTCCTGTGTCTGTTCCTCACCGCCAGACCCTGGCCACAGTCCTATAACCCCCACCTCAAGCACACTGGAGAGCTCCTGTGAACCTCCCACAAATCTGTTCTAGCTAGAAAGTGACTGTCAACCCACCAGACCCAGAAGAGATAGTCCCCAGATTCCCTGGCCAAAATTCTAAAACCTCCCTGTGCCTACCTGTTTGTCCCCCTACCCCCTCTCTCACAAGGAAGCATTCCCCCAGGCCAGGCAGCCTCTGTCTTTTCTGTCTTACTCTGCTTAGAGAACTTTCATTCCCCTTATCTAGATAGTACCTGGTAATTGGACCCGAGTGACCTCTCTCACATCAATCCATTTATTCTCTCTCTATATGCCCTGGTGACTAGACTTCAGCAAATATGTTCCTACTGATAATGACCCCCATTCTCTTAATCCTTTCCCCATTAGAACAGTTCCAGTTACTCTTTCCTCTAGGCCTCCCACTGTGATATTCCAACCCCCCCACCAGTGACACTATGCAACACCAGAGTGGCTGCCGAGGCATCTGGCTCCTGCCCCTGTCCCTGTTCCTGTCTAGCCTCGGGGTCGCCAGAACCGGGCGCTCCCTTCTCAGCTGTCCTGCAGCCTGCCTGTGTGCCAGCAACATCCTCAGCTGCACCAAACGAGGGCTGGTGAATGTTCCACAGTCTCTACCCCACTACACAGCACAACTGGATCTTAGCTACAACAACTTGACCCATCTTCGGGCACAATGGACCTCCGTCCGCCTGACCCACCTTCACTACTTGTTCCTCAGCCATAACTACTTATACTTCATCTCCACGGAGGCCTTCTCCCCAGTGCCCAAGCTGCGCTACCTGGACCTCTCCTCCAATCATTTGCGGACCCTGGATGAGTTCCTGTTCAGTGAACTTCGGGAGCTGGAGGTGTTGTTATTGTACAACAACCGAATTATGGAGGTGGACAGAAGCGCCTTTGATGACATGGTCCACCTACAGAAACTCTACCTGAGCCAGAACCAGATTGCTCGATTTCCTGTAGAACTGGTCAAGGATAGGTCCAAGCTGCCCCAACTGACCCTCCTGGATCTGTCTTCGAATAAACTGAAGCTGTTACCCACGTCTGATCTGCAAGACCTGCCAGCCTGGATGAAGAATGGACTGTATCTGCATAACAACTCCCTCACCTGTGACTGCGAGATATACAAGCTCTTCACACACTGGCAGTATCGTCAGCTGAGCTCAGTGATGGACTTTCAGGAGGATTTGTACTGTGTACATTCCAAGAAGACACTCAGTGTCTTCAACATGAGCAGCACCCTGAACTGCAGTGAGTTCAAGGAGTGTGCGTTTGAAGCCCACCTGGATGAAACCTTGACCATTAGCTGTGACACCAGGCAGCAGGGCATGACGAAGGAATGGGTAACACCAAACAATGAAAGAGTACCGAGTGAGGTGGGCAATGGCTCAGTAGTGATGTTGGGGGATGGCAGTCTTCAGTTAAAGCGCATTCGGGTTGAGGACCAGGGATTGTACACCTGTTACGCGGTAGGGGAGGTGTTCAATGAAACGTTGTCTGTGGAGGTGAAGGTCCACAACTTCACCCAGCACGGACCCCATGACACTCTCAATACAGCCTATACCACGCTGGTGGGCTGTATCCTCAGTGTGGTTCTGGTCCTGATCTATCTGTACCTCACCCCGTGCCGCTGCTGGTGCCGTGCTGGGGAGAGGCCTGCAAGCCATCAGGGAGATAGCCTCAGCTCTTCCATGCTGAGCACTACCCCAAACCATGATCCAGTGGCTGGTGGTGGTGGCAAGGACAGTGGCTTTGACCGTCGAGTGGCCTTCCTGGAACCTACAGGCCCCGGGCAGGGCCAAAATGGCAAGCTAAAGCCTGGCAACACCCTCCCTGTCCCTGAGGGGGCCAAAGGCCAGAGGAAAATGTCTGATCCAGAATCAGTCAGCTCAGTCTTCTCTGATACACCCATTGTGGTGTGATTAGGGTGGGGTTGATGGGAAGATCCCTGGGAAAGAGGGAATGGTAACCTCCAAAGGATGTAAGGGGAAAGAAGAGGGCTACCTGAGGGTGTTGGTTTCCCCTGTCCTCAAGGGAAATGTGCACAGATGTAACAACAGGCCAGAAGCCACACCTCCATCCCTGGGTGTAGAAGATTTTCAGATATGGATCTGTAACTCTCAGGCAAATGCTGCACCCCTTATCCAAAATTCTAGCAAGTGCAGCTGCTGATGAAGGAACTTGTCTAAGACAGGTGGGTCTAGTGGGAAGTAGATTCTGTAAGTTTTTACTGTGTCTGCTTTAGCCCCATAAAGAGAGTGGTCATTATCCAAGCATTTGAAAGAAAAATGGAATTTTCCATAATGTCTTCTTCCACCCTGTATGCAGGGATTTGGGGTGGGACTTGAATGGGCGCAGACTTGAGCAGTTGGCCTGATTCTAGTAGTTTCAGCTGCAGGTATATCATCTTTGGTTGATATAGACAGGGGAATTGAAACCTTAAGGAACAGGGTAGGAACCAAAAAAAAAAGACCCCTGAATCAAGAATGACCCCCAAAGCTTTCTGAAACTTGTCCACCTTCCTCTTTCCCAAGAAGAATTAAGTAATTGACTGAATCACAGAAGCAAATAACTAGCATGGTCCTGTGTCAGACTAGGGACCCCTTGTAACCAATCTGAGTTTATAGAGGGTAGCAATGTAGTAAGTGTGACATTGGGGGACTATCCACTGGTACAAAGTGCCGGCTGGTATGAAGTAGGCTATTTGGGTCACAGCTCAGGAGAACACCTTAAAACCTACTCCAAGTGTGGACAGTAGAAATTCTGACTCCCTGGTCTCTTCTCTGCTGTGCATTTGTACTCCAGAGTCTACTGATTTCACCACTTTAGGCAGGGCCTTTGCAGGTGCCTACCACAGGCATGGTGTATGAGATGATTGGGATGGGGGGTGGAGGTTGGGAGTGGGAGGATGTGAAGGAAATGGCCTCTTATAAAGATGAGGCTAAATTAGCCTCCATTGTGTAAAACCTTGTTTGGTCTATCTAGTTTTCTTGCCTTGCTGTCCCTTCAGCAGCCTTTCCAACAAGCTTTGGTGAGAGATGAGCTTTCTGTTTGTACAGTGCGGTGGGGGAAAGAAGCAAAGAGGGTCTAAGATCCTCATGAGTAGGTGGGTGTTTGGGTGAAGGGATTGGTAATCACTGTGAAGCATCCTCGAATCGCAAGGTTTCCTTCTCAGGTTTCAGTGAACTGGCTCTAAAAATTTGGGGCAGTGATCTTCACTCACAGTTGTCACTGCTGCAAGGCTAGAGTAAGGGATTTAACTGTGCACAAGGCTTGAGAGGAACGGTCTGTCCTAGAATGGACAATCTGGGGTGTGTATGTGCTTAAAGCCCTATACTCTCCCCAACTTGCCAGCAATCCTGCTACAGGTCCAATGAGTTGAATAAAACCTAAATGGGAAGCTCATGCTGCTGCCTTTGCCCTTAGCACACCTGAAATCTGAACAATGGTTGAACTTCCTGACTGGCCAGGGGTCTGAGGGTGTATGGTGTATGGCTGGAGACTAGCTTGGGAATAGAGAAGATGGCTGTCCACTCCAGCTCCTCCCTCAGACTCTACCTATGCTAGTCTTTTCAGCAGCATTTAAGTGGACCACAGTCCGTCAAGGTTGTTCTGAACGTCTGAGGTAGAGCTGCATGAAGGTTGGAGATGAAGAAGAGTAGACATATTTTCCTCTACATTTTTCAGTCTGCTGTTTCCCCTGCCAGTGCTGGCCCTGTTTTCTCCCCCAGTTGGTTCTCAGACCAGGGATGCTCTTTCTGCATTTGAACTGCTTTCCGGGCCCCAGTAGGAGGCATTCCTAACTTGGCATCTCCTGGGGGAATCATAGGATCAGAGATTCAGATCTGAAAGGGGCCTTAGAGGTCATCTAGTACAACCTCCATCATTTTACAGTTGGAAGCAAGCCTCAGGAGGCTCAGTGATTCGTACAGGGTCCCCTCATAGAAGGTGAAAGTTGCCTATTACTTGCACAAGGGTCTGCTTCCATCTGCCTGATAAGATTAGGGTAGGGGACTAGTGCTTGAGATGCTGCTCCCATCCATCCTTGGGCTCTTCTGACTGCTCTCCACCTCTTATCAGCAGTTTATACAGTGGAGAGATGCAGCATTTCCCTCGGTTACTTACAGCTTATAGGTATGCATGCACACCAGTATTTTGGCATTGACCTAGACAATGTCTCCTTTGATTTCTTCCAATACCCCCAGAGTTATCCCCACATTCACACAGCTTTAAAAATATAATGTATTCTAGCAGAGGCATCGTGATGGTCCTGCAGTATCCCTTCAGTATAAAACCACTTGGCCTTTCCCCTCGCTGAAGTTTCTGGAGCTTCTCCACTTTTCTGAGAGGCATTGCAGCACAGTGGGTAGAGACCTGAACTTGGAATTTGAATCAGACACTAGCTGTACAGTCTTGGGCTTTACTTAACTTTTCTGTCTTTCCTCATCTGTAAATTGGGGATACCACCTACCTCACAGGGTTGTTGTGAGGATCAAATGAGCTAATATATGTGGAAAGTGCTTTGCAAACCTTAAAGCACTGTATAAGTGTGAGCTAATAGTATTATTCTATGATCACTGCACCCCTGTGATTTTCCTACACTTGCTGGTGTTTTGAGAATGCTTTTGAGAGAAGGGAGAGTTGGAAGCTGTAGCTGAGCCCTCAGCTCCTTGGAAGTTTCACTTTGATCTAAGGTGCCTTTAAGCAGTAGCCATGAGATTCCAAAATGGTATTTCTCCTGGAAGTTTGTTGGCCAAGGCTCAGAGTATGAGGGAGAGACAGAGATGGATGGACAGGAGAGTAGACCTCTACTCTACTGCCTCTTCTTAGCCAAATGCCATGTAAGACTGAGGATCCCTCTCATAAGCTAAGGATAGGAGGAAAGAGTGTAAAAATAGAATTTCCTCTAACTGGTTGTCTTCCAAAGGCCTTAAGGGACATTTCTTTCCTAGAGATAACAACTTGGAATCCATTCTGAGATTTATCGGGGAACCTGGGCAAGTCTAACTTTTTGAGGTTTTTTTTTTTTTTTTTGGCTGAACGCTGAGGTTCTGAGAACCTCAGAAAGATAGTGAAATGAAATGGATGCTGGGAGCATTCCCAGTGACCTAGGCCTCCGGCTAGTTAACTGGCCAGCAAACTAACTCCCTGCAAAGTGAAGAAAGCTCCTATTTGTTTCTCCAAGACTTGCTAAAGACTAGATGTACTTTCTGATTAGCAGGCCCTACCCTGATTCCTGCTGATAGACCCTCAAATGGCTTCCTGCCTAGGGAACTGAGTACTTACCTTTATAGGGGTTTGTTCACTGGTGCCCTATGAAGAGAACCATCAGGGAATTGGTAGAAAGAAGGCTGAAGGGACTGCCTACAAGACAGGAAAAAATCTTGGAAGGTGTCCCTGCAGACTGATTATGACACGGCTGCACAATCTGTGTCCATGTGTAATCTTTTTTTCTTTACTTGTATTTGTGGGGTTCTCAGAAAGGAACTGAGAAAGAAGAGCTACCCCCACCCTGCCCAGGCAGGTAGCTGAAAAGCATATTGAATCTGACTTTGTGTGTGTTCCTGTCCCTCCCCTCCCCCACCAGCCCTTGTCCTCTTGCTGGCAAAGCAAAGGGGGCCTTTGTAGAAGTCCAGGTTCCTTCTCCTCCCACTTGTGTACATCCAGGCTGGCAGACCCCGCAGCCTCCTGACTCCACCATCTGTCTGAGCCTCTGCTCTGAAGAATAGACAGTGATCATTAAACCAGGCATGAGTCTGTTCCGTGTTGGTTTGTGACTGATTTATTTCTGTAGTAGCTATGTCAGCTGTGAGTAGGGCCCACTGTTCCCCAAGGGAATATGAAGTATGGGGGAAAGAGGGGTTGTTGATACTAGGGCAGGATATAGATCTTGGGCATGAATATGGGCTCTAATAAATAACAAATTCTGGCGAGTGAGAATTTAATAACTGAAAAACTTACAGACAGCCGTGTTTTTCCAAGCACTGCAGTTAGCAGACCTGCTTCAGTGGCCTGCATCACTGCTCTGCTCTCTAGTCAGCCTGCAGACAGCCCACACTGCATCTGTCTTCAGGGCTGGCTGTATTCTGATGCAGATCTAGTCTGGGCCCTGAAGTCACTGGCTCAGGCAGCATGCCTGAGTGTGTTATTCATTAGCTATTATGAAAAATGTTTGGATTGCGTTAAATAATGCCAGGTTGTTGGGAATTTAACTCACTTTCGAGAACTTTTACTTTATATTACCTTAGACCTTAGAATTTCCATTGGATAGCCTAGTAATATGTGCTGGGCATTGCCTGGGACAGTTACAGTCCTCACTTTTTTTAGCACTTGTATTCTGCTAGAAACCAGAATAGACTTCCCCAACCTGAACTTAACACATTTTCTGGCTCCTCATAGCCATGTCCTTTTTAAAGGTGAAGGTACCACAATAGGATAGAAGGGAGACAGTATGAGGAATAAGTTAGGAAGTCTGGATAATTTTAGTAATGAATTTAGTAATTAACAGCATCGTTTTTTAGGAGGCCCTTTCAGCCAAAGGCTGACAGGAGGGATGAGGCCGAAGGAGAGTCTGGATCTGTTTGAGCTTAAACAAAGCCCTCCGTCCCTGAGCCTGTTTTGGTGCTCTTCTTTCTGTAGCCCCGAGTGGGGCAGAGCACTGGCTCTTGGTCTTTGCCCATAAACAGTTTCTCAGATCCTGGCTGGCATTGCTCATCCTGTTTATTAGATACAGTGCTGCTTTCTCTTTGGCTTCTGTTCTTATTTAGCACTGCTGGGGATCCATACAACAGCTGCCTCGTCTCAGAATGGAGAAAGATAGGGGAAGAGTCCTAGGAGTCTCCCAGCCAGAAATCTGCTCTCCTCTCTCCCCATCCTGATCTATGAACTACTCCTTTCCTCTTTGCAACTGCAGGCCCTTTATTGCTTATCTTGTTTCCCAGGAAACCAATAGGAGAGCCTCTCTCCTCCCACCCACAATGCAGAAAAGGCTTAGGCTCCAGCAGCAGGACTGGCAGCTTCTCTCTGTTCTGGCCACAGTGAGCTCTTAAGCCTGTGCTGAACTCTCCCTCTCCAGGGTACTGAGAGGAAAGCTAACTCATCTGCCAGAGCCAAGCCTCTTCATCATTCCTCTGTCAGATGAAAAAGGTCAAGTGCTTGAGACACAATGAAGACCCTGCACTCACCCCCACAGCCTTTCAGCCTTGCTTTGGCATGGCTATTGCCTTTGGAACAGAGACCAGTGAAGCCATGGCCTAAAGGGAACTGCCTGTTCAAAAAACAAGCCAGTGTTAAACCTGGAAATTCTAAAAGTGATTCATTCCAATCCAACAAGCATTTATTAAGGGTTTGCTACGTATGAGGCATAGTGCTAGGAATTTGGCAATGAAATGGCTCAAGTCCCTGCCCTAAAGGAGCTTACATCATGCTGAGGAGATGGAACAGGCCCAACATTGACATAGATGGGAAAAGTCCCCACTGCCCAAAATGGATGTGGGGCACCTAGCAGACGTTGAGTCAAGAGTGTTTTATGGCACATCTCCCTCCACCCCACCACTATTCTCCCGAAGGTGTCAATCCAATGACACTCAACCTAATCATGCTCAACTGTGGCCCTCATCACTATTAGCTTTGGAATCTGTTCTGTGTCTAGAGGACCATGGTACCATTCACCTTTATTTAATGAAAGCAATAATTAGATTCCTTGATTCAGCAAGGTACTCTAAAGTAGGTGGCATCCAAAGAGGGGGGAGAGAGGAGGGGGGGGAAAATGGTTACTTGGCTCCAGGAAATTCTGACAATGAGCCAAATAGGCCAGAATAGAATCCTGGTCTCTAGTCCTTGAGATGGATTTGGGGTCTACCTGAACCATTCCAGGGGCTCGGGGGCTCTCAGGATAGAGGTATGCACTGCCTACTCTCCAAGCTCTGCCCTCTGGCTCAGTCCTGCTCTAAAACTAGCCCAGCCT